GGACTGTTGATGGAGGGTATACGTACAGCAATATAAATCCACTGAAGCACCTCAGCAGTGATGTTATTCCTCAGCTCTTTGCTCTACGTGAATCCCACTGTGTTGCTTTGCAGTGGTACCGTAAGCATCAAAGCTGTGAGTGATTGTCCGTGCAGTTTGTCTGCTAGCACCCCCTGAGGGATCAGCCTACAAACTTACCACATTATAAAGCTCAAAGCGTTCACCACTGCCAGGATGAAAATACCATTAGCACCCTGTTTCATTGAAGAGCTTAGGTGGTTAAACGGAGAGAACATTAGAGCCATTTAATGATGTAGGCTGCCAGAGTTGAATTCACTAGGATTCAGAAGTGCATAAACAACCCTGAAGATCTGAGCCCTGATCCTGAGAAGGCCTTCTTCTAAACGTTTCGCTAATGTTTTTATCATTTTTATTGACAGCATAGAGAGAGGACACGAAATGATGCAACAAAGCGGCAGGAAAGAGATCGGGAAATGATGCAAGCCCTATTTAAACTTCTCTTCTCAGTATGAGCACCATGTAGCAACTTGTGTGTGTTAGCTACTAGGTACTAGGTGATAGGTAAAATTGAACATACATTTAACATCTGTTTTCTCAACAGCACTTAGTCACTATGAAATCAAAATTAAAAATAAAAAAATAAAAAAATAAAAACTAGTCTTTTATCAAATTATATTTAGCTGTTGGAGTCAATAACCTAATGGGCAGCGCTTTTGGTGACCCGAGTTTGAATCCTTTCCAAAAAAAACTCAACACCTATTTATTTATTTATTAATTACTGATTTGCATATTAAAGTGGAAACGCTCTCAGATCCGCTAGAAAAGCAGTTCATGAAAATACAAAAAAAACTCTTGCTTTTGCAGAGATGACAGTTCTGATTGTTTTACATGTTAATTTCTGATCCAAAAAAACTCAACACTTATTTATTTATTTATTAATTACAGATTTGCATATTAAAGTGCAAACAATCTCAGATCCACTAGGAAAGCATATTTTAAATAATGCTCATTTATGCACTGGTTGCTAGGCAACCATACATCCCATAATTAAAATGTCAGCAATGCAAAACATCAAAATGCAACAACTGGCCACAGACACTTCCTGTAAATTCTCTACTGTCATTTTTTTTCTCATTTAATATCTGTATTTATTCGTGAATATGTTAGTAAAATGGGTTGCGAACAGCATTTTGTGTCGACTGAACTAAACTAAAATTTGTTACATGGTTATGTGACATAATTGATAAGAGTATATAAAATCTGTTCCAGCTGTTTGTAATATTTGTTACACAGTGATTTAGGTGTTAACTCTTCCTGTTTGACCCATAAAAAATAAATCACTGGCCAAAAGGGCCGCAAATAGATTTATGGCCCTCAAATCAGATAACACAACACACTTCAGAACTTGAAGGCATCTTTCACACACTCGCTCTGTTCTTGTTTCTGAGTCTAAAAGGTTTCAAGGCCAAAGCACTGGAAGTTGAGGTGGGCCAGTAAGCGAAAACATGTGTCTGCAGCCCTCACCTCGAGCGCAACATTAATTTGTGTTTGTGTAGAAAATTGCCCTGAGAGAGATGAAAATATATGGGCCTTGGCTTCAGGGAATGGGCTGACAGCTTTGAGGTTTGAGCTGGTTGATGCTTGTACTCATCTTCAGCTGAGCTAACCTGATGCTAACTGGTTTCAGTACAGCTCTAAAAGACATTTTCAGTGTTTTCTTTGAATTGAGGGTTTATTCTTTATTTTAATACAGTTATTTAAATATTGCCTTAAAGCACCCCGATTTCCTAAAATACAGTGTATAAGAACCAACTGTCATATATGTGATTGTAATATATTGTTATTAGATTAAATGTGCTACTTAAAAATATGAACTTGAGTATTTATTTATTTATTTATTTTTTACTAAATATCGTCAACTATGGCACATATTGTATAGTTCTAAAATGCCTTTTAATCTCCCGAAAGACTAAAAAGCTTCTATCTGCATCTGTACTGAAAGACAGACATTAATTTGACATTAAAAGAGGCTGAAAGGTGAAAAATGACAATTTCCATCTTTTACTCAACCTCATGAAATACAAAAGAAGACATTTTGAAAATGTTTAAACAATTTTAAACAAAAGTCAGTGTGGCCCAATGTTGTTTTAGGCCCCATTGACTTTCATTGTATAGACAAAACAGTTAAAACATTCTTTAAAATATCTTCTTTTGTGATCTGCAGAAGAAAGAAAGTCATACAGGTTTGAAAAGGAGGTTTGAAAGTCTTTTTAGATCTTCCGTATCTACAAATATAAATCAGTCAGCAGTCAGTGTGTTTAGGAATGTGTATGCGAGTGTTATTCATGTTAGTGCACAAAACAGCAATCTCTAACTTTTCCTCGTCTGATGTACCTAACGTCCACTCCTGTTGAAACCAACAGAAACAAACAAAAATCAGTGCAAAAACAGACTCTCTTGGTGACAGACTTTTTCCGCGCCTCAGGGCACCTGTTGTCCCCATATGGGCGATTGCTGCAGAGCGAGACAGGACAGGCATTTAATATTGGCAGAATGTCCAGCGCTGCTGCCTGCTTTCTCAGTAGCACGTTCACACAGCTCCCACGTGTGCGTTACTTTTTGCTCTATAAACTATTTCATCTAAATTTAATGTTAAGCAAGTCCCACCATGCATAAAATAGTGATGATAGTATCTGCTTGTTATGTCCATAGAAAAATAAGCAGTAATTGAAGCATAATATTAATTGAATCCATTGAGTAAGGATGCTTTTGCAGAGATGACATTTATTTATTTATTAAATACTGATTTGCATATTAAAGTGTAAAAGATCTCAGATCCACTAGAAAAGCAGTTCATGAAAATAATTTTTTTTTTTTTTTTTTAAACAATTGCAAGACAAAACAATTACAGTAAAATAGGGCTGCTGGGCTGATATTTTAAATAATGCTCATTTAAGCACTGGTTGCTAGGCAACCATACATCCCATAATTAAAATGTCAGCAATGCAAAATGTCAAAATGTAACAACTGGCCACAGACACTTCATGCATTTAAAGTTTGGTGAGTTTTCAGTGCAGGGATTAGAAGTTATAGTGGAATAATAACGACAGGCCAGGGCATAAGCAATAGAATAGTTCTGTACATGTCTAATGCAAACACTTTTTCTTGGTTTGACTAAAAGTTTGGCATAAAAAAAAGACGACGATGAATGAGCACTTTGAGTAAATGGCGTCAGTAGAACAGAGCTTTCTTGCAGAACGGTCCCCGTCGTGCTTAAACACACACTTTGACATCTCAACAATGACACGCACATCAAAGCTCAGTCAATATTTACATCAATCTGCTCTCCTCCGGTGAAGAAAGAAAGTGTTAGATGAGGCATTGCATGTAAAAGATTGGTCTGATTTGCACAGACTCATAATGAAACTTTAAAATCAATAACTTTATGAAAATTTGTGAAAGACCTCAGAATCAGTTTGGCCGGATTATTCGTCGAACACTAGTGAGATTCTATTAAAGTTTCGTTAAAATCCTCATTATATTAATACAATTGGCTGCAGTGTTTAATAAACGTACTAAATGGACACAAATTTGACAAATGAAGTCATGCGATATATTGCACAACGCAATAAAAATCCTTATAACACTAGCAGAATAAAAAAGAGATACAATCTTATGGACTTGCAACTGTCTAGAGACACTGCTCAAGATGTTTCAATATGTTTGAAAGGTTGTGGTACATGTGTTTGCAATCCAATTCCCAACCAATGAGCTACGCTTCCTCCGAAGCCTGAAACACAACTCTCTCCAGTTATTGATTCACGTGAGCTGCACAACGTTTTATGAGCGAACATTTGAGTCCTCCTTTGCGTCATCATTCACAATCAGGGGACATATGGCATGCCTTAGCGATTAGCATGGACTTAAACCCAACAGGCTTCCAGCTGACATGGAGAAACCCAATACTGTACGGAGCGCCCCACTGCATCACTCTACACACACGTTCCCATCAGATACCGCTGCACTGAGAACTGTCACAGGATACATGGGAACCAAGCATTGCTTTTCACGTTTGGTAAGGAACGGAGCAGTCTGTACGGTTCGGTACGGTACGCTGAAAGTGTCCCGTTTGCGACAACGCAGTTTCACATGTTTTGTATTACAGTTCTGATTGAAGGTGCACATCAACACCGATCACTCAAGTTGGATCACATGTATGTCATACATCCTAAATGGGATCAGAAATAAAAGGTCACAGGAAATTTGCCCCATGCATCTAATCTCATAATTATAATTAGGATAGCATAAATAATTTAAATAATAACGATCATTTAAAACATAAGCATTAAACAGAGGAGAAAAACACTTCCCATATGGTTCTCGTTAACATGAAGGTCATGCGCTCAATTAAACAATGGCATTTTAGCGCAAATCCATCTGTCACTTAGTAGAAAATGCCAGGTAGCCTGACTTGCACTCATCCTAATAAACCACGAACAAACTACTCAAGATAAAAGAAAACATGCCACAGACTACATTAAATACAGGTGCACTTAAGCACAAATATGATTTATGAAGACCTAAATGTGTTTTGTGCAACCGCTGAGAGCATGAAACCCCAAATCCTTATGAAACCAAAATTGCCAGTCTATCTCTTGTTAATAACTTTGCATATGTTTGTAGCTCATGGTAATATCAACAAATTCTAATAGTCAATTTTGTTAACCTCTGAACAATCACTAATATTTGAGTGATACAAGTTCTGGGTCTCGAAGCAAAACCAGTTGAGAACCACTAAGTCTGTTATTAACCTAGAGCCTTTCATATCTTCCAAACCCCTCATCCAGGCATAAAGCAATAATCTTTCAGTGTCCTTTTGAAGATATTTAATGTAATCAAACCAAACGTCCCTCAAGAACTATTCACAGCCCCTTACTGTCTCAGCAAAGTGGGTGATGGAAGCAGGAGGGAGTACTCACAGGTAAGACATCAAAGGACTCAGGTCGGTTGGCACACTGGATAGTCCTTGTTCGGAGCAGTCCACGAGCAGTAGGATGCCATCCTCCTCACACTGGCACGCAGACGGGCACTGCTTCCCAGGCATGGCGGCACCCGGCGGCCCTTGAGAATGGGCACTTGAGACGGCATGCAGGATCAGTAACACCACCAACATGACAATGACTCCAACTCTTGTCTTTCTGTGGGTGAGCTGTATATCTGTCTCTCTGCAGTCTCACTCAGCTGTAGCTCTGTTTGTGTGTATGTGTCTGTCCGCTCTCAGCTCTCTGAAATGTTATCCTGAGCCTCGTCTCTGTAGATTTATTCTGTCACTTCAAACTCCCATGGGTGAATGAGTCAGTCAGGGGCTTACACAGGTCTTCTCTCTCTCTCTCGTCTCATCTCACTTAGGAGACATTCACCTATTGTAGTAGAAGCTTGCAGCGCTCCTCTGATTGGCCGGAGCTTTTGGAGGGCGGGGCTGCCTGGCACAGCACTCCTCCTACTTTCTCTCGCGCGCTCTTTCTGCCTCAGGCAGCTGGAGTGGATGGTTGGAAGAAAGCAGGAGAGCCGAACTCTGAGAGGGGGGACTGTATGCTGTATGCGGAGATCTCATTTTCATACCTTTAGAGCTACCACAATCCTTCCCTCACAATTACTTTTCTACAACTGCTGCAATCCAGACTTTCGTGGAAAGTTCCCCTAGATCCTGCAACGCAAATTTAGCTGTCAAGCACCGACCGCTTCTCCTGCCGTTGCTCCATATAAATCATACGTGAATGTCGTTTCGCTCCATTTCTCTCGGAGAAAAGCTTATATGGTTTTTTATAACCCAACAACAATAATTGGGTTAAGCTGCGGGCTCCCCTCAACACCATGCTCAGCCAAACAAACTACAGATTTACTACTTTGCTGTCCTAGCTTGTACAGCGGGGTGTCTCTTTACCGCAAGAGGCATGAATATACAGAGCGAGAGACATTCTCATGGCTTATTCGGTGGGTCTCACTTTAGCTAGTGGAAGGTACAATGATGAATTGCACTGTTTCTTCAATTGGAAAGGTGGACAATGGAATTTTCCGGTTCGCTAGGTGATAAATACTATTTGTTTATGTCTCAAAGGATCATGGGAAGTCCTGATCGATTCCCGTTAAGGGTCCTAACAGTGGCAACAGCTAAATTTTACCTAAACATTTCAGAAAACACTATAGAGATGTACCACAACATACAAGCTTCCAGGAAATATCCAGGATATTTCCAGAAGCTGTGGAAGATGTGGCTCCAAATGTCTGTAAAACTCTTTAAGTACTTTCACTGTGGCTGTATTGTTGAGCACATGATGTTATACAATGTGAATTGCGAAAGGATGCAATATTTGTGTTATTGTGATCATCTTCTACTATGTTGGCATTGGTTTCTGGAAAAATTCCCATTATGGATCTTGCGTAGTATAGTGCCCAAAGCACTATCCTCTCTCTCGTTCTGCTTCATTCTATTATTTTTAGGCTTGTTTTTGTTATGTTCATGGGGGGTCTTGATTGTTAGCATGACACATTTCCTTTTGTGAAACGGTGGCCAGTTTCTGAGAATCAAATAACATTAGTTTGAGTGCTTCAGTTGTTTTGCATTAATCTTAGTCATCCCATCTGTTTCAAAATCTCTTTCTAGTAGTTGATGCTTTTTATGCTTTCAGCACTGCAGTCCAGCATGAAGATCTCCAGTGCTGCTCATTCATCTGATTTAGAATCATTCACAATGGGCTCAAATGAATTCCATTAATTCATTAAAATTCCTCAGCTGAGCCCATTTTCTGTGGAGCCTGTGTTGCATTCCCTCCAAAAAAAAAAGAACTGTAGTCATTGCTGCACATTATCTCTGCAATATCCACACACACACACCAGCAAATCGGTCGACCTTTCACACACCAAACACCATCAAGAGCTCAATTCTCATGCAAGCACTCATTGCGGTAATTGCTTTGCCTGAGGACAGCCTCAATATAGATCCACAAACATGCAATACTCGCCTCACTCTGAGGTTTAATTTATGTCAGTTCAGTTTCCAGTCGTGTCATGCAAGAAGTGATGAAAGGTAAGAGATGCTGAATAAGAAAGATTAAATAAATAAAACATGATGATTGCCTGTACCCAGAGGAACATTTAATTGCTTAAAGGATGCTCTGTCTTAACAGAGCTCTGATTTATGTATGTTTTCTCCCTAATATTTCTTTCAATAGAAGTAGAAATAAGCTATAAAATGAATGTGAACACAGGTAATTTGGTAATGAGGAATGAGAAACGTGTGAGTTTTGATTTTGAAACTTAAAAATCTGAGTTTTGATTGCAAACTTGTGTGAGACTGATCTCTTCAGGGTTTTTTTTTTTTTTGAATGCATGATTTTTAAGTATGTTTCCATTTTCTCTATTTAATCTAATTTCTCTCTAGAAGAAACAAGTGAAATATTAATAATATTTTATTTGTCCTCTAATTTTTATTTGAGCAATATCTGTAAAAATATGTTTCAAACCCTTTTTTTTCCACTGCAAAGATTTATAAATCAATATTTGTCTTTTTATAGTAAAAATATCTAAACAGCCTTTACACAAGAGACATTAAAAAGAATGGCAAAATATATTAAGACTTACATATCTCGCTTATATAGTATTACATTGTAAATTATATTAAAATGATCATTTATATATTTATCAATTAAATTTGTAAGGATAGCATAAACCCCAGTGCATTTTGTTAGATTTATGCTTAAACTATGAAAAAATGCATACATAAAAAAATACTTTTAAAAAGAATATTCAGTTTTACTAGTTAAGTAAATTGCGTTATTTAGATCTAAAAAATACAATATTTAGATAATTTTACTGGAAAACTAGCTAAAGAACACACTAAGGCAACATTTTTGCAGTGCTTTGTGACTGTGAGGTTTATGTTTTTCTGTACAGCATGAATTAAATCTGCTCTCACTATTTTTCCTGAAGAGCAAAACAGAAAGAACAAGCAACTCTGAAAAGCTCAGATGCTGAAAAGCAGGGATTTGTGAACAATGTGCAGGCAGTAAAGGAGAAGTTGAAAGTTAGACGTGCTGTCACCAAACACAGCTCTGCAAACAGTTCCCACCTCTGGGCACCTGCTCGCTGAGTCGGAGGCCAAAACAGGGTTGGGTTACCTATACGGCTGGAGCTACAGGGACCGCTGGAAGATTTGCCCTATTCCCTGCCCCTGAAGATCAAAGGCTCCCCACTCAATCTCATATCCACCCACACACACACACACACACACTATCCAAGCATCGGCAATCTTTTAAAGCACAAAAGGGAAGCAGTTACCTGGCTCTCACCTGTCTGAATCTGCCACAGGTTATTCGAGCTCCGTCAAGCACGGAAGTCCATTCAGCGGCTGCATGATGAGAGGAGAAACTGGAGACCTGGTTCTACCCACTTACCGAGGCTGGGAACAGACAATTACGGGTAAACGCAGTCATATCTGGCTGCTATGACCACCTGCTTAGTTCACTTGAGGGAACGTCTTAGAATAAAAGCAAACAGCTAGCAAAACAACCCTCAGTTTCTATATTTCTAAATTTAGACTTTGCTGTAGTGATCAAAATGTTTTATGTATAGGTAGCATTGTATGAAAGGGCTTTTAATAGGCTTACTTCTCAAGTAAAATATATAGGCATCGCTTAGGGTTTCTGAACAATATTTCACAGTAGTATTAGCGAATCCATTACTAAGGTGTTGATGGATGCTTTAATGGCATTACAAATGTGTTATCTGTTGTTGTTGGAGTTATGTGTGGTTGCCAGGTCATTCCTATAGAAATTTGCCTTACTGGTCAGTGTGTCAGTGTGAGAAAGCCAGGGTTAAAGCCCCAGAAATTAAATAAATCAAACGAAAAATGGCTTGAACATAACATTATTTATTTATTTATTTATCTGAATTAAAAATTTTTTAATCATATTTAAGCAATTTCACACAAACAGAGCGCTGTCTGTATAGCTCCGATTAGCAAAAGCACTACTGTAAGTGTGATTCTTTTGAACAACATCTAGCCTAAAAGAAAAATAAATGAATAGTAACATTTTAGTTACTGAATATATTAGGTTACTCCGCATTTTTCTACTTACATTTATGAAAGTAGGCCTAGTTCAGCTTCCACGGTCAAAGCACGTCGCGTTTCTTCGAGCAGCATTTCGTTTCTGAATGAATGAATGAATGATTTTGAATGAATCAACGATTCAGTGACTCACTTAAAACGGTCAGTTATCGCCACCTACTGGAGTAAAGATACAGAAACCAGCAGAATATCTCCACCTTTAATGCCCAGACTGCAGTCTGAACGGAGAAATTGAATAATAATCTCTTTTGGAAGGCTGCTTTGCTAAATTAAATTCGAGCACATGAACTTAGCTAACTCTTGTATAGCTAACAGTACTCCACTAATTGTCGTGTATATCTCATAGCATTTGTGCACGATACCCACTGCAGCCATTTAAACTCTGCTATCCATCGTAGTTCCCTTTCATGGGAACTTCGAACTGCGTCCTCTAGGGGTCGCTATGGGTAATGCCTCGTCGTGACCCGTGTCTGAAGCATACATTGAAAAAACACCAACTCGTTGGCCAGAGACAGCCATGACGTCACTACCAGTGCGACTATAGTATAAATAGGCGCTGGGAGCACACATCATTCTCTTCTTCGTCTTCATTGACTGCTTTGTTTGAAGCGTGCATTTCTGTGGTAAGAGCGATCTCTATTCATCTCATTATGGCGAGCACTAGCAAAGCATTTAAGGATGTGTGCATCCGTGTTGACGTTGTTTAACATCTGATGACACACACGATCTATGCGTTATTGGTTTGGGCGAAGAGCACGCACGCGATGCCTCCGAAGGGGCAATCAGCGTGCACTGCGAGCGTTTTTTCCAAGGAAAAAAAGCTCCGCTCTCGTTTGTCTCTCTTTTCGAGGAAAGAGGGGCAGCCATCTGCTTCCCGCGATCCAGGACCCGCCGCTGCTGAGGCACGGAAGGGAATGAGCTCGTGGGGATCGCAGGTGGATCTGGCCAATGAGTTTGAAGAGGGGTTT